CACAACGTTCCTGCTCTGGCAACGTAACAAAATAAACTGGCACTGGCGCATTTTTTTATTTTTAACACTTCTTGTAAACTAATTTTAAATCTAACATTGTTTATTTTTTTTTTCAAAACTAACACTTTTGGTCGCGCCTATTGCCCTGGCGCGGCGCAACGCCTGTGTCGCGCCATACATGGTGGCGCGGCAGGAGGATGATGTGGCGACGACCGGGGCGCTAACCGATGACGTGGCAGGGTCTGCCGCGCCATAGACCACGGTGCGGCACTGACATGTCAAGGCCCACGGCGCGGCAGGACCTGGACGCAGAAAGAAGACCAGCCTCAATTGCAATTGAACGGGAGCTGCTGTCGGTGAGGATCGGCAGCGACGCGACCATGGACCCCGGCTTCACTTCGCAGCTGAACGACACCTGCAGCTCCGACCCCAACGCCTTCGCCTTCCTCGACCCCTCACCGATGGGCTTCGACAACTCCTTCTACCAGAACCTGCAGGTCGGCAAGGGGCTCCTGAGCTCCGACCAGGTGCTCTACTCCGACATGAGGTCACGCGGCAAGGTCGACTACTACGTGTCCAACCAAGGTGTCTTCTTCGGCGATTTCGTGGCGGCGATGACCAAGCTCGGGAGGATCGGGGTCAAGACGCCGGCCACCGGCGGCAAGGTACGCCGGGACTGCCGGTTCCCGAACTAGTTGCTAGTTAATCTCGCCGGCAGTGCTGCCGCGACGCATTGAAACGAATATGAAGCAAATAAATAGAGTCTGTGCGTAAGTTGACAAGTTGCCACAACATTTGTTCGACATAAGTTTCGGACGACAATATTTGTTCGACATAAGTTCGACATAACCAAGTACTAGGAGTGTAAGGATCCCTCGGACGCCTCTGTCTCTTCGGATTTATAGGCAACACATTGGGAGTGTAGCCAACGTCGGTGTGGTCGCATTGCCGCAATGCGGCACTGCTCATGCACCGCAAGTATATGATATGCACGATTACTTATAATCTGTATGATCGTTAGTTCATGGAGCCTCGTATTTAAAAAAACTACCTTTGTTACTACATGTGAGGCTCCTTGGGTACCAAGCGGGGCACCACCTAAATTTGAGACATGCCGATCTCGCCCTCTGCCGCCAATCGTTCCTTTGGTGGTCTTTGTATCGGAAGCACAGGGGGTCGTCGTCGTCATCATCGTCCTCGTTGTTCTCGTTTTGTGGTCCTTCCCAGCACTATGATGTGGTGGTGTATGCCACCTTTGAAGCGGCTTTGTCACCGGTGAGAAGAGCGGCTGGTGTCCTCAAAGAGCCGAAGACGTGTCACCGACCATGGCCGGGTAATCGGGTTCCACCCAAGGAGTGTCCATACACTCTCACCGAGCTAGCTTCCCTCTGACTCTTCTTCACCTTTTGCATAAATAAGCGTTAAAGTTAGTGCATTTCTCAAACGCATATACATTAAAGAAACATTTTGAACGGATAAGTTTATGTTTACCTCCACAAAAGCCTCGAGAACGCCGCCCTCGCCTCTAGACTCGTGAAGCCAAAGCAAACGCCGCTTCGTTTGGATGTACCTTGACAATTGTGTCGCCTTTGTGTACGTAAAAGCGGTTGGACAATTTTAGTACACATACTTAATACCAAATGGATAACAAATTATACCATTCAAGTATCTTACAACGATCTTTGAAGCGGGGCTCTCTGTAGTTGTGTGTCGTCTCTAGTGGCAACGTCGTACACATCTTCGATCACATCTTTCTCGTCGTTTCGTCAATCGCCTCCTCGGTGTCACGGGGCTTGATATGTCCTCGTGAGACTCTGTGAAGCCACCGCAGTACTAAATCAAAGGTGTCTTTGGTCATGTGGGGACCCAGACGATTTAATGGTGTCGGATTCTGATACGCCACAAGCTGGATGTACGCGTTGTGTGTCACGCGCCAATCCTTGGTCTTGTACCTCTTCTGCGGTCATACACGCAACAAAAGCGATTGTTAGTTGTACCATACACACCTCTAAATTGTAGCTTTGTTATTAATCGAGAGCGCGCACCGTGCAATTCTTGGTTGGTGGAGTAAAGCGGTGGTGAGTAGCCTGTCATTCTTCCAAACTGCCTGCAAACCCTGATGGGCAAGTGAATCTCGACCACGTGGACAAAAATAAGAGGGACGTTGCAGCGATACTCGTCTCACTCATCCCTAGTGATGGGACTCGAGATAGTTCGGAGCTCGGAGTATTCCAAGGACACCAATACACCTGAACATTTCATAATTAAGTTAGGTTGTGATATAGTGTACATCGAACAAGACACATGTATGATAGTAAAGAGGGCGTAACCTGGTGCTGTGTCAGGACATCGAGACAGTCCGTGTACTCCCTGTACTTGCGCCCCGCATTCCCTCTAAATAACTCTGCTTGGCCCGGATATCAGAGTATGTAGAGAGTGTATTCTACCCGTTCCAATCTTGCATTGAACACGATAATGAATTAACCATTAATAATTTCATCATATGTAAGCGCCTCGAAGAATATAGTGAATCAAGTACTTACTGGTAAACCAAGTAATAAGGGGCCTCTAGCAGGCCATCGTTCCCAACACCAAAACTGGAGTAGGTAGGAGCAACCCCAAGATTCGTGAGATACCACGAGGCGAGGTGCGACGGCAGGCAACGCATAGGTGTATTTACGTCCATGCCAGGATTGCGCTGCCCCAGTTGTACGCCGCTATGTTATCCTACGGCTGGCGTAGTATGTCAAGAAAGATGCAGCTGATGGTATTGCCCGAGGCGTCTAGGAATAGGAAAGCACCAAGGAAGTGCCAGAGCCACACTCTAGCGAACCTGTCAATCTGAGCCTCATCAGCCTGTGGGTCCAAGTAATCAAAGCGCTCTGTGATCCACGACGATGAAACACCGGAACTTTTCCTAAAATTTATCAAAGAAAATGAGACCCGATGATTGCAGAAAAGCAATACAAGTATTAAATATGCTTCAATTGCTCACTTATTTTTCTTGGAAACCTCGTCGTTCGGTGGAAGAAAGCCAGTGAACTGAGCCACCAGCTCCCTCTAGTGATTGTTGTCAACTATACCTGTCACTGGAAGTCCCCCCAACCGAAGGCCAAAGATAACCTTCACGTCTTGCATGGTCAAGGTCATCTCGCCGTAAGGTAGGTGGAACGTGTGGGTCTCAGGCCTCCACCTGTTATAAGAATAGAACGACTGTTAGTTACCTCAAATTTGTTATAAGAAGGTTTACGTACAATGAAGGCACTCGCACCTATCTATAGCTGCAGTAAGTAGTACTGGGTCAAGGGGCAGAAGACCGTAGTCGACAACACGGGCAAGCTCGAGGAAGCCGGCACGCCATATGTACGGCGCGTAACGCTCGTCCCACTGGTGCGCCCAGGTGTGCGTGCGGGGCCTCAAAGGAGGCAAGGGCACCTCTGCGTCGGTGTCAGTCAAGAAGTGTGCTCGGTGTGGCTCGTCGTGCTCCACCTCAAGAAGGGGGTACAACAGGTGCTGCGTGGGAGGGGCCATCCTGTTATAAATTGATAAACAAAGGGTTATAGCATTCAAATTAACAATATTCAAATTAACATTACGTAGCATTACAAAATTTGAACTACTTGTTATGCAATACGAACACAATATGAAAGCACATGTATATATTTAAACTAACATTAACAGACATATTAATCAACTTCACTAGAAAAATAAGCAACTTCTATGTATGGACCTGCTGCCCTCGTCTTCTATGCCTGCAGGCATCCCTGGCGCGGCGGGTGTCCGTGGCGCGGAGACCACACGCGCACATAGAAGGGCGGCGGCGTGGCTCCCTTTTGTTGCCACCGGCGAACTCGTGAAGGAGCCCGACGGCGCCATCTTAGTTCTTAAGATAAGTGAAAAGCGTTATACTAATCTTAGGGTTGGGGATTGTTACCGGATTTGGGTAATTTGCATTCCTAGGGTTCAGATTTGGGCAAAAACTGGAGCTTAGTGTTGAAGTTGATTCGACTCCCCTCCTTCTCTAATTGCTTAAGCAAAACCCTATATTTTAATTTGGCTTAAAGAACTTTGAATCGGACAAATCCGAGGCTATTTAGATCTTAACCAAACACTAATTAGGTCTTAGGGTTCAAGAATTAGGCTAAGCGGCTTCTCGGATACCAATTGTTAGAACTTATACTTAGACAAGATCTTAACTAACCTTCTGAGAACGCCTAAACCGAAATTAGCACTTAATTAGGACTTTAATCAATCTTACTCACGCTTGGCGTGCGTCGTCGTGGTGGTCGTGTCGCGGGCGTCGTGGTGGTGGTGGGCGTGCTTGGGCACGGTGGGAGGAGCGTCGACATGCGTGGCGCCGGGCGGCGTGCGGCACGGCAACAAGAGGCGAGAGGAGGCGGTGGCTCACGGACGATATTTACCGGGGCTGCGCAAGTGGGCTATGGCGATGTCGGCCGCGCCAAGATTGGTGGCACGTACAGACCACTCGCCACGCCACCGATCGGCGCTCCGATCATCGCCACGTCACACCTCTCACCGCGCCACCATGCATGGCGCGGCACAGGCATTTCGCCATGCCATGACAATAGACGCGGCCAAAAGTGTTAGTTTTAGAAAAAAAAATTAAACAGTGTTAGATTTAAAATTAGTTTACAAAGTGTTAAAAAAAATCGCACTGGCCATGCAGCAGAATAAACTGGCAACATAGGCCCTGGCAGCAAATTTTTACCCACTAGGGTAGCAGCCTCTGCCCTCTGGACCAAAAAGGTAAATTGATTTGCAATTGACAAAACAGCAACTGCCCAATGGCACCGATAAATGTTTATTAACATGTGACCACAAAGTTTCGGCACCGGCAACGTTTAACAGGAAAACTAGGCCAAAATAACCCCACTTCAAAAAGGTTGCAGTTCACGACTTCTGCCCCAATCCGAAATCCGTAAAAAAGCACTGCTCATCATGTACCAGTGAAAAAAAGAAACTTCGGATTGATACACTAGTTATTTGATGGATGCTTTTACAGCTTTCTCTGCCGCATCATCAAGATCTTCTGCAGTGATCAAAGTCATTCCACTTTCCTGCAAAGATAAATATAAATATCACCAATAAACATGTATGTTTTCATACAACAAAGCAGAGTCAGAACATGTAAACTAAGAACCATGCGCCACTATCATCAACAGCTCTAACCTTAAGAATCCTCTTTCCTTGGTCTACATTGGTGCCTTCCAACCGAACAACAACAGGAACCTTCAGGTCAACCTGACAACGGGTGGGAAAATTAACAATAATGTTCTGTACAGGAAAAACCTGAGATAAACATAGCACATATCATAAAAAAACATGATACTTATGAGGTGTTTAGTTTGACAAATGATGTGATCCATCAAGGTACCAACTTCTCAGTTCTCACTCAAATTTCTGGTTTGGGGAATGGAATGGATTGATTCATCACCACCTTATCCGTCAATACACAACACACATAGTTTAATACTCTTCCATTCCAAATTATAAGACGTTTTGGCTTTTCTAGATGCACGGCCTTAACTATGTATCTATACATAGTGTATATTCTAAGTGCATAGCAAAAAGCTATGTATATATCTAGAAAAGCCAAAGCGATTATAATTTGGGATGGAGGAATAGAAGGAATGGTTTCATCAACCAAAATTCATGGGATGACACCATGATGGACCATTTCCATTCTAGGTGAGGTAATTCCTCAAACCAAACACCCCATTAATAAACATGCTGAAAATGCTAAGAAAATGAATAAGAAAACAAGGGCCATGATGGTGAAGTACCTACAAATCTAATTAAAACAGACAAGAAAAACATTACAATATTATCAACACATTTTTATTTAACAGCAACCACAGTAGCAGAACGTAGACAAGATGATAAAAAATAGAACCAAACTAATCAAGGATCCATGGCAAGGAATACAGACAGCTCCAAAACAGACTTCATTTGGGGTATGTATATTTGTATGTAGTGACCAAATTATATTTGCAAGAAAACCATCCACAATTGATTAGTGACAGTATTACTGTGGAATATCAAGAGGCAGAGAAACAAGGTTGAGATAAATATCTCTACTATAAGTGGTAAATTTCTGAAAACAGAGACATCCAATTTCAGGGAAATAATGTCCCTAGCGGTGAGGACAACTATTGCATGGACACACTGATTCTGTGGGGAAAAAAATATGCTAAAATTGTCAGCAACCGATGTTACAAATAAAGCTACAAAAAGGCTAAAATGTACCTGTTTAGCAGCATTAACAATTCGCTTATGATCACATCACACTTCATAATGCCCCAAAATGTTCACTAGAATTGCCTTCACTCTATCATCTGAAGTCAGTATCTTAAAAGCTTCCACAACCTGGATAGAATAGAAATTTTATAAGATTGCAGTGTCAAAGCAAAGCCACAATGCCAAAACTGCATCAGGGTTTAATATAGATCTCAAGGAATTCTATATCATTCAGGTGATAACAAATATTTGCAATGTACTAAGGATAGAAGAGAAGGTCAAACGTTCAAGTAATGCTAAATGGCATCCAATTTATACCTGCCCCTCTGATGCACTTCCACCAACATCAAGGAAATTGGCAGTATGTACCACCATGCAACTTTATAATATCCATGGTCGCCATGGCCAATCCTGCTCCATTCACCATGCAACCAATCTCTCCATCAAGACCAATATAGTTCAAATCTGCTTTGGCAGCAGCGACCTGTACAGATATTGATTCTGGTGCTGAGATTATATAACCAAAAAAAGTACTAGCTAAGAGACAAGTTCTCAGCCCAAATAAGGTCTAAAAAAAGGAAGAAAAATGTGCAAAAACACATTAGAAGAAAACTTGACACAAGGAGAGAATGAACAATGGGAAAGATTAGCAATTCTATACCTCCCTGGGGTCTTCCTGAGTGGTATCACGCAGTGCAAATATTTCTTTCTGTCTAAATGCAGCATTATCATCAAAGTTCAACTTTGCATCAGCAGCAACAAGCTTGTTGTCAGCAGTCTCCGCCAGAGGATTTATCTACCCACATCAAGCATCCAAATTATAGCGTAATAAGATAAAAGCATCAAAATGAGGACCATTTCTCACTGCATACCTCCAGCAATGTGCAATCACACTTGCAGAAAAGTTCATACAGCTTCTTAATCTGTTCTATAGAAGACTGCCTATCCGCTGCCTTCAGGGCTAGACCATCAACAACTTTAGCTGCATCCTCATCTGTGATTCCTTTAAATACATCAATAGGAACCTGACATTCCAATAAATTAAATTTCAACATAGGTAACACAATTTGGATTAGTATCTTGTAAATATGAAACACAAAGAGAGCCTACAATGAGCCCAAAATAATATTAGGGAACTTAACCTTAATAATCATATCAGGATACTTCTCCGCAAGATCTTCAATACTGGTTCCTCCCTTGCTGCAAGCAATAATGAGCTGAAATGGACAATCAGAAATGAGGATAAGAAAAAAAAAAACTTGACAAAATATATCATCCATTTCAGAAAGGAGACTGACGATGTGCATTAAGTTACTTAGACTTCGTTGAATCAGTCACCACAATGCACTGACTTATTTGAACAACATAAGAAAAGCCCACTAATAGAAATTATAAAATGAACAGCAAAGTAAAGTAATATCTGAGATAAATGGCATATCTGAGATAAATGGCATACCGGACCAGCAGTTTTCCTATCAAGGGTGATGGCAAAGTACATCTCATTAGTAAGAGATAGTTTCTCACACAAGTAGACCTGTCAAGAGAATGGAGTGTGTCAATCTCTAGAAATCTTCGATGCGTGCAAGGAAATATTGCAAACTAAAAGTAGAGGTTATGACTTTCATACAGCATAGTCATAAGAACAAAATTATGTAGAACTATTTTGAAATGCATTGAGATCTTGTCTTGCATATTAAAAATAGTAAATGACAGAAACAATCAGATATCATGTACACAGTATGGCCTTAAAGGTACTATTCCCTTTCCCTACAACAAATGCATTCTTGGACATTTACACTGTCGAAAAGGTAGAAATTTTACTTCATTTTTTTTTACAATGTTGAAATAATAAGGATTACATATTATAAAATTACTTTACATGAAAAAATCTCGTAATATGAGAGTTACGTTCAATACGTTGTCAATCTACCTACTTCTTTATGTATTGCTGGTTGTAGTTAAACTTTGATGGGAACAGATCTTAAAACGGGTAATATTTACTATTAGAGGGAGTACTTTTTATGACAGTATGGTGCAATCCTGCTGTTAGTATTTCACATGAACATAAGAATGCAGAATGAAGAGAAAATGGATACATATGGTACTTTATGTTTCATAGAAGAGTCTGAATTTCCTATTATAGACATACTAACTCAGGTGCAGAAGGGTCAAAACTTGGTAAATGAAGGATGGAGAACCCGCACAATGGAGAAAATTTGTAATGTTCTTAGCAGCTCAGCATAGAGTAAAAGAAAGTAATGGGTACAAACACAAACAGACCAAGAATGAAGAAATAGTATCGCAAGTTTTACAGAGAGGAAATGAACTAACAGGAAAACACACCAACAGACCAAGAGCAAACAAGTCATGAAGCCAATCACGGTTCAAACAGAAACATATAAAAGCAAAAGATGGCCTCAATTAGTAAGTTCTAACCTTGCTCACAATCTTTCCTCTGGACCAGTTTGTTTCATTACCAGAATCTGGCCTAACATTTTACCTGCAGTACCAGTACGACTCATTCAACGATTAAAATACATACACGAAACATGACTGACTTGCACAACTAATAGCAGAACCTAACGTGGGAGGAATAACCCACATGAAACCAATCAACCAGTCACAATGAATAAACAAACTTAAATTCTGCAATAAATGTGTGAACACAGAGATCTATCCACGTTAGCAATATTCCTGATACAGATCCACTTAGTTAAACAAGAAAGTAGTCCTGCAAGCTTAGGCCATACAAGTAGAGTTCATGGTGGCAAAAATTCAGCACCGGACAATTCAAAATAAAATTAGTGTATGAGAACAGAAATTAAGTATGTGCTTGTCCTTCACGTGCGTAGAAAGTAAATTGGCCTTCTATGTTTTTATTTTTTGGTTTTAATCATAAACAGGGGAATGCAAATTGTAATGACAAATAAGTGTCATTATCACAAATAGCAACAGCTGATGGGCAAGAAATCTAAGAAATTCTAGGAAGAAGTGCTACATAATGAATTTCTGTTCTTGCTATAGTACACACTTACTTGCAATCGATTCAGCTTCCTCAGCCTTAACAATATGGACACCACCTTGCAGCCCACTTTTGAAAGTTCCCAGCCCACGGCCACCAGCAAGGATTTGACTTTTTAACAACTATCTGCAATGGCAGAACACCTCTAGTATGAAACTGTGACTAAATTGCAATGTGCAAACTATAAAATGTCTAATTTTACCTTAGATTACAAGCAAGATACATACTGTTTAGTTATACACAGAACTTTTTTTTTCACAAGCATGCATACATAAAAAGGTCAGAAATATAGCACATAGCATTTTCATAATAAAAAAAGGCATACATCAGAAAAAGGTCAGAAATATTGCACATAGCATTGAGCAGAAGCAGTATAATAATGTTATATATGGCATGGAAGGTTGTGTCATAACTCCATTTGCATCTTAGATAAATGTGATTGTTTTATGCCAAATATAAAATACTGTTTTAAATTTCCACCAACTATGAAAATTGTCTTGCAAAAACAATAGCCCCCTTGACCACATAAAACCAACTTAATTCCAGCACCCGTAAAAGTAAAATTCAATGGTAAATTGATAACAATGCAACCACAACTCAGCATAAATTCTAAGTAAACTTACATTCTTCTGGGTCTAGAATCACCATGACATCACTCCAAGCCATGGACGACATGGACGACTGGCATTTTGGATAACGGGGTGATAAGATGAACATAATGATGGGTCAAATAACAGAAGATGAGGAAGCTGTGGCGTCATCACCTCTTCTCGCTGGGGAACATGTTCTTCAAGGCGTCCTTGACCTCCCTGAAAGGACCCAGCCGCCGCGCCCCTTGGGCACGTTGATATCGTACTTCCCATCATCAATTTGCGTTCCTGCAGACCCACTTAATAATCCACAAACCCTAATCCATCAGCCCCAGCCTCCAAACAGCACCAATCAATCCTGCACAATATGAGAAATGGGAAGGTAAAGTGTGGGATATGGAAGCGCTGGCACCTGGTACTCGTGGATGTTGAGGCGGCGGAGCTGCTGGTGCCATCTCCCGGCGACGGAGAGGCGCGACGCAAGTTTGCCGAGCGATCCGCGAACCATGGCTGTGGCGACTCTAGGCGGGGATGCTCCTCCGATCCGGAACCCTACAAGCGTGGAAGACGCCTCTTTCGATATGGTTTTCCCCTTCCTTTTTCACTCGATTTTCTCTCGTGCCTTTCTTGCGCAAGGGACGAAGGGGCTGCGGCGGGGGGCTGCAGGCTGCTGGGCTGCAGGCCGGGGCCGGTGTGTAGACTATACACGTGGAAGGAGAAGGAGAATGGTTCTCATTGGCTGATATGTGGGTTCGGTCTACGTGGTGCACGTGTCAGTGTCGTTGGTTAAGACAGGAGGGTTAAAAGTGAGAACGAGCTGTTCAGGTTGGACTGACTAGAGTATACAAAATTCTTCCAAAACCTTTCAGTTTTCAAGTCATAAAAAAATTTGGAAGCACCAAACAAGTGTTTCTCCCATAGTTTCCAGAAAACAATCTATATCTATCTACTACTCTCTGTCCATATAGTGTATTCTAGCATTTAAATTTTGTCCTCAACATATAAGACATTCTAGAAGATGAAAAACCTATTTTTGTATTAAATACTTTTATTTATCAACCAATCACCACTAATCACGTGACGATAATGAAGGCCTGATTAGAAAAAATAAAATGAGGATACATGCTAATTTTTTATATTCTCTATTAATTTATCTTAAATTTTAGGATGCATAATATTACACGCAAAGAGGGAATATCTACATATGTAATACCTAATACTAAAGAGATTTCTAGACAACTTTATTTTTCATCCAACCTATCCAAAAGTGTCTCACGTCTTGGCCGCGTGGAACCTTCTGTTTTTTTTTCTGGAATACCTTCCGTCCGAGTTTCTGATTTCCTCCGTCAGATGGAAACCAATGTTCCGTTGTGTAAGTGATTTTTTCTCCATTCTTTCTAAACAAAAATAATGAATAACAAATTCGATATTGTGGATCTTTCAATATTTATTCTTCTATAATAAATATCTGTGATTGAAATGTTAAATAATTTATCATCCAATCTAATCTACTTTTCTCTATATAGTAAAGATTTCCACACCACCAAGATGTTGATGCAATTTTGATTAAGAACACAACTTATCATATTATTAAAATCTGGTTCAATAATTGTTCAATTAATCTATCCAATCTAAACTAATGTGTCTCGTGATTGTACACATGCACCACCTGGAACTCCCTGAGGAGTGCCAATGTATAAAATAGAGATGTCTCTTGTCATAACTATTATTGGACAAACCAATACTACATATCGCAATCATAATTCTCATCGATTTGAATAAAATGTTAGAATTACATATTATTTGTGGGTCCTCATCAAAGGAAGCGATAATCGATATTATTAAATAATACATAGCATCGTAGAGGAAAACTAAAGCAAGGATATATCTACGAGTAAATATTTTTGTAGTTTGCACAGAGGAAAAAATCTTTCAAATTGTATTTTTTACAAAGTCGTGCTTAATTTGATTACTCTTTTTCTCACGCTGCAACGACCGCAGGATATTTGCTAATCTCTAAAAAATCAAAAGAAACGATCGACGAAGTTCAGCAGCATCGATTCGAAGTCCAAGGCTTATCTATCTTCTCAGCTCTTGGTTCACCGTTGCGCAAATTGGAGCAAGATGGAAGTGTTAGCCATGGCTGTGCAGATGCTTCTGCTGCTGGTGCGCAACGTGCAGTCTGGACGCTCGGAATTACTGGACGGTAACGTGTTTGATTTGATTCATAGTCATTGTTCCGGTGCGATTCTTTTTGGTGAAGTTTCTTGCCGCGATCTCTGATTGCTTTTCTGCCATGTGCTGGTGGATGGAATCCAGGTCTACTCCCGAACGGCAATCCCCGAAGGAAGCTCTCTACATGCCCAGCGGCGTGGGGATACGGGTGTTGGGCGCGTTTCTGGCGAACCTGTCTTGGTAGACGTGGGGTTTGTGGAGTACGGGCGCATTTAACCCTGCCTGGAGCCGTTGCCGCTGCCGCGAGTGCGGGCGACAAAATGGCTGCCATGAGCTGGGTCGTGCGTTTTGAACTTCAGGCTGTGGCGCGCGCCCAACCTGTAGCGAAGCGCGGCGTCAGCATTATTAAACTGATGTTAAAAACTATTAGTACAACATTCATTCAAACTCAAATTATTGTGGCATTATTTTTTTTTGATGCCAAAAAGAAAAGGCATGATTCTAGTATATGTAGAGATATTATTTTTTCAAGGAGGCCACTACCTGCTCTTTTTTAAAAGTAGCGCGACCAGCGTCGTAAGTCCCTCGGTTTCCCGCAACTTTGCGCACGCACCTCGCCATTCCGCCATCCCCAAAGCAATCAATGCTCCATCCGCTCATCAGCTGGACCGAATGCGGCCACGAGACGAGCAGCCCCGTTCGCTCACCTCGAGCCAAACCCTAACGCGCCCTCCAGCAACGCCAGA